ATGAACTGAAGATAGAAGCAGAAGATATTAAAATAGAACCTATAAAAATGAATAGAAAATTGAGATGAAAATTCCACTGGATCATCTTAAAACTGATTGAATACTACGAAGATAGAAAAATAAGTGAAAGTAAATAATGGTGATGGAAACTACCCAAAATGAGGTACAGAAGAAAGAGTGAGCAGGGAGAACTGAAAACAAACAAACAAACAACAGAATTTTGGGGAAAATCAAGATGGAGAAAATACTACACGCGATTGGGAGCCCAGAAGGGCACGGGAGAACTGGGAATGGAAAAGTGGCTAAAGAAAACGTTTTGAAAATCACTCCTAGTGAGTGAAAAACTAGAATCCACAGTTCCAAGGAACTCAACAAACCACAAGCAGAATAAACATAAAGAAGGAAATCATGGCCAGGCCCATGGTAATAAACTTGTTGAAAATCAGAGACAGAAAACCTTAAAATGATACATTGCATAAGAAACAAAGAGAAGACTATCCACATAGATCCCACTAGAAGCTAAACACGCCAAGAGGAAAGAGTAGCATCCTTAAGGAGGAAAATAATGCGAACCTACAGTTCTACACTGAGTGAAACTGTCCCTTTAAAATAAAGACAAAAAATCTAAAGTTGGACTTTTAGAAGGGAAGGGAAAAGCTGGAATCATTTGTTGCTGGCAGGTATGCAAAAGATGGAGAGGAATTCTGTAGCAGAAGGTGTACAGTGCTAGGAACAAATAATTGTAGACATGGTAAATGTACAATAATTTCTGGTCTTGTTTTTGACTAATTCATGTAGCACAGAAAGATAGGACATGACTGCTCAGACCTGTGACCCCAGCACTTAGGAGGCTGGAGCAGAAATAATGCCATAAGGTCGGCCTGGGCTATGTAGTGAGTTCCAAGCCAGTCTGGGCTATAAAGTGAGAAGGGAGGGAGGGGGATGGGGAAGGGGAAGGGGAAGGGAAGGAGGGAGGGAGGGAGAGGAGAGAAGGAAGAAGGAAGGAAGGAAAAAGGACGTATCTAACAAACATTGAAGCAATATTCATTACAAAAATAACAAAAATAGGAGGAAGAAATTAAAACATACTATTATAAGGGATTACTGTACATACAGTGGGTAGAGTATTATTTCAGGAAGACTGTGATAAGTTAACAATTTGAAATTTACATTTTATTTCTTTAAACCAGTGTTCCTACAGTGAGATAGGAGGCAGAGACAAGAGAATCCCTGGAGGTCCGTGGTCAGCTAGCCTGGCGTACACAGTGGTGAAAACAGCAGCTACCAGAGACCCTGTCTCAAACAAGGTGGAATTTGAGGGCTGACACCCAATGCTGTCCTTTAAGTTCCATGTATGTGTCATAGCACTCATGGGCCCACATTTGCACACATAACACACACACACACACACACACACACACACACACAAGTAAATAAAATAGCAAAAAGATATGAAGCAAAAGTCACAGAACTGAAATGATTCAAAGACAATTTAAAAGTTATAGTTGAGGGGCTGGAGGGATGGTGGTTAAGAGCACTGGCTGCTCTTGCAGAAGACCCCAGTTCAGTTCCCAGCACCCTCATGGCAGCTAACAACTGCCTGTAACTCCAATTCCAGGGGATCTAATATTCCCTTCTGACCTGCACAGGCATTGCATGACACAAGTGCAGTTACACACATGCAGGCAATACACTTATAAAAATAAAAATAAAATTAAAAAATTGTAGTTGAGCGTATTAACTCTCCTCCTCCTGTAACTCTTACTCCTGTAAGAGTATGTGACATATGAGCTTCACTAAATAACTTAACATCATGGAACACTTCACCAAATAACAACAAAATCCCATGAAACAAACCAACCTCCCCATTCCATCGTGTGTGTGTGTGTGTGTGTGTGTGTGTGACATTTTCTTTATTCACCTGAGGTTTTTGTTTATTTTGGTTTTGTTTTTAAAATGGGGTCTCACACGGTAATCCATGCTGGCCTCAATCTCTTGATTCTTTTGCCCAAGTGATAAGATGACAGACACGTGTCACTACACCTGGCCTACCTGTTCATCTGTTGATGGACATCTAGACTGAGTCCATAACTTAGCTATTGTGAATTGTGCTGTAATAAACCTGGATGTGTAGGTATCTTTACTGTGTGCTGACTTAGATTGCTTCAGGTATGTATCTAGAAATGGTATGGCTGGGTCATATGGTAGTTCTACTTTTAGTGTTTTAGGAAACTCTGTACTGATTTCTATAGTGGCTGGAGTAATTTATATTCCCACCAGCAGTGTTTTCCATCGTCCTATTGGCCAGCACTTATTTTCCTTGATGGACGTGATAATCTGGTGATCACCATGATGACTGGTGTGAAATGGAATCTCAGTGTAGTTTTGATTTGCATTTCTCTGATATCTAAGGAAGTTGAACATTTTTTTCATGTATTTATTGGACATTTGTACTTCTGTTCAGTTCATTTGCCCATTTATTGATTAGATTATTTGTTGTTTTGAGTTTAATGTTTGAGTTCTTTATATATTGTAGACCTGAATCTCCTAGCAGATGAATAGCTAGTGAGATTCCTCCCCTCTCTAGAGTGCCTTTCACTGTGAATTGTTCCCTTGGCTCAGCAGAAGCTTCCTGATCAGATGTAATCCCATTTGTCAATGGGTGGAAGGGGGAAGTAGTTCTATACCTAAGGCTTTGTCCTACAGATAAAGACATACTTGGGCCAAATAGACCAAGTTCTCAGTTATTTTTCTTTGTTGTTTTTCATATTAAACCCTCACTATTAACCCAGGCTAGCCTCAAATTCATGTTCCTTCTGGTTCAGCACCCTGAGTGCTGGGATGGCAGACACACCCCACTACACCCACCTATAGTCCCTTAAGTTTTACAACATGTAAGTATATTATCTATTAAAATATATAGACAAGAAATTTTATGATGTGTGATTTAAAGATAATTGCTATATTTCAACTTACCTATGCTTATTTCAAACTTGGCTGCAGGGGCTGGAGAGATGGTTCAACATTTAAGAACACTGACTGCTCTACTAGGGTTTGATTCCCAGCACCTCCATGACAGCTAACCACCATTCATAACTCCAGTTCCAGGGGATCCAACTCCCTCTTCTGGCCTCTATAGGCATTGCACACACAGGTGTACTTAGATACATGTAGGCAAAAACTCACACACACACACACACACACACACAACTTGACTGCAAAAAAATTCACTTGTTAATCTATGTATAAGCCTGATTGTAGTGCAAAGAAGATAAATAATTCATTATTGAAAAACTGATTTTCAGGGCCGGGAAGACAGCTCAGTGGTTAAGAGCACTGGTTGCTTTTGCAGAGGACCTGGGTTCAGTTTCCAGCACTCACATGGTGGCATAATTCCAGTCCCAGAGGACCCAATGCCCTCTTATTGCCTCTGTGGGCATTACACACATGTGATGTATCTATATATATGCAGGCAAAATACTCATACACATAAAATTAAAACATTAAGGAAACTGATCTTCCAAAATAAAAGTTAAATAAGAAATAAAAATGTGAAAACATAACAAAAACAGAATTTTTAAAAACTGGAAATAATAGGATCACAATTTGTTTAGAACAATCAAATGAATATTCAGCAACAAAAGAAATCATGGGCTGGGGAGATGGCTCAGTGGTTAAGAGGGCTTGCTGTGTAAGCACGAGGACCTGAGTTCAGATCCCAGCACCCACATAAAAAGCTGGGCATGACTGAGCCCACACCTGTAACCCCAGTTGTGGGGGAGAAGACTGCAAGCCTAGTTCCAGGTTAAGTGAGAGACCCTGTGTCAAGGTATCAAGGAGGTGGGGGATAATTGAGCAGGATATCCATTGTCCATCTCTGACCTGTACATGCTTCCAGGAGCACACATACACATGTGTACATATACCACACACTCACAGGTACATATATCCATTAGAAGAAAAAGATATCATTGCGTGTTTAAACTATCCTTAAGGGAATACACTAAATCTTTGGCAAGGTACAGAATGACAGCATGTTTCCCTTCTTGTTAGATATTTCCATCCTGTTTGATTACTTTAATGCTTTGATATTTAATTAAAGAATTTAAAACAATCAGATTAGCTGGGCATAGAGACACACACCTTTAATTGCAGTGTTCAGGATGCAGAGCCAGGAGGATTTATGTGAGTTTGAGACCAGCCTTGTCTACATCGTAAGCTCCTGGTCACCAGGGCTGCGTAGTGAGACCCTGTCTCAAACCACCACCACCACCAACAAAATCAGATTTAAATATAAAACGTTCTCTATTTCCATTGGTAACCAAATATACAGAAAAGTGTTTAGTAAGTCAAAGGAAAGAAAAAGTTAATGTATAAAAATGCTCACTCACTCCATCCATAAAATATAAATATATTAATCGGTTATATATGCATATAAGTTAAACAATAGAAGAATAGTTCATTGACATTTCCACAAGATACAATATTCTATTAAAAGACATAAAATCTGTGGCAATTGCTATAATACATATTATATATGGCTGATTTTAAAGATTCACAATTTTATGTATATCTTAGTAAAAAAATTCACATGCTCACCTAGTAGAAAAGTGGTAGAATTAGAGTTGATTCAACACTTGCATAATATAATTTCAAATTTTATTTTTTTCAGATTTCTCTTTCAACATTTTCAAGTTTTTTTACTTAAATTTTTTTTTTTAGATTGAATTGTTTATTTTTGTGTAGAGGGGGTACACACGTGGAAGTCAGAGGACAACTTGCAGGAACCGGTTCTTTCCTTCCATCACGTGGGTCCTGGGGATCGAACTCAGGTCATCAGGCTTGGTGGTAAGTGGCTTTCCCCCCTGAGCCATCTCACCAGTCCCAAATTTTCCTACCTTTGTCAGAATGAATTGAAGAAGCAATTCAAAGTTAGAGATCCAACGTGGATCTTGAACTGCCCAGCACAAACTCTAGACTTTTAGAAAAGAGCTACTTACTTGCATCTCGGGCTATAGGAGTGTGGGCCACCTGGCCCAGGGAGGTGCCTCCTAAAGGCTGTACCAGCTTCTCCAGAGATGGGACTCTGTTCCTGAGTGGCCCCTTCTCCTTGGGGCTGATAAAGAAGTCCCCAATGTCCTTTCTTTGTTTGCATTCTTGGAAGAAACTCTCAAAAGATCTGTCTTTGAGTCCAAGGGAGGAAAGAAGAGAGGTTCTTTTCTTTGGAACGGGAGCGGCATCTGGTAAGGTCTCTTGCAAACTCACTTTCTCCAGGAGTGTGGGGACATCTTCAATCTTGCTGCAGGGTGGGGATGTGTGTGCAGGAAACATCTTGGATGGACGATTGGGCAAACTCTGGGTGCGGAGGGCAGGGTCAGGAAGGCTAAGGTCTGAGGCCTGGGCAGTCTTGGAAGTTGGGGAGGCCAGGGAGAAGAAGGCGGAAGCCCTCTTGGCCATGTGTCTCCCTGGGGACTGACGGTCCCCATCTTTACTGGAACTGGGTTTCCGTAGGCTAAAGGAGCGGGTGAAGGCCTGTGACCGGCCCGTGGGCAAAGTTTTTGATTCTGACTTAGGGGAGGCCTTTTTTCCTCCTTCAGAACTGGGGAGCAAGAACCTTCCGATGGCATTAGCTATGAGCCGCAGGGGGGACTTGGGTGGAGGCACGCTGCGCTCTCTCTCTCGTGGAGACCGGACGGCAGGGGTGTGCATCTCCTCCAGGACCTCTCTCGCGGCGGGCAGTTTCTCGTCGGAGGGGCAGACTGGTTTGGGGGCACCTCCTCTGCCATTCTCAGACCTTTCTTGGGAGGGTAGCGCCCCAGTCTTTCCACGCATGCCTTGAAGGGCGCAGTCGCTCCAGTCCAGCAAGTTGGTCTTCTGCTCTTGAGTAAGGACTAGCTTCTTCAAGCCTGGCTTCTTGTCTGCTGCCAGCTCTGAGTCACCTGCCTGTCCCCTCCTGGGTCCGTTGCTCCCTTCTCCCCGGTTCTCTGCAGCTCTGGGGGCTAGCTTCTGACTGGGCAAACATCGGTTCTTCCCCACCACGGGCTGTGGGTCTTCGCGGACACTGCTGGTGCTTCCAATTGGAGCCTCCACTTCCTGGAATCCCTCCGAGACCATCTCTACAGGGTTTGTGTGGCCTTCACCAGGGCTCACCAGGCAGTATTCTGCTCGCTCCAGCACCGGGCCATGCGGCAGAGAGAGGGGAATTTCCCTCGCTATTCCTTGGGCTCTGGCCCGTCTCAGATAGATTGGAGTCGGACTAAAGTCACCTCTGGAGGCCTGTGAGTGGGGCTTGTAAGCTGGCACCTACCGGGGATGGGCAGAAATAGCAGTTATTTACTATTTTCTTTATTATTTTTATTTTATGTGTGTGAGTGTGTTGCTTGCATGTGGAAATGCACCCATGTCATGCAGTGCCTGTGGAAGTTAGAAGAGAGCATTGAATGCCTGGACCTGGAGTTTCAGACAGCTGTTAGCTACTATGTGGATGCTGGGAATCGAACTCAGGTCCTCTGTAAGAGCAGCTAGTGCTCTTAACTGCTGAGCCATCTTGCCATCTTTCCAGCTCCTTTAGCATTTGCTTTCTTGAGTCAAGGTGAAGGCTGTGAGGAGCGGCTTCAGGGCACTCACCTGAGGAGGGGAGGAACGTTCTGGAGTGTGTCCAGGGACAGAAGCTAGAGAACAGGAAGATGGTGGGGCAGATGAAGAAGACCAGGAAGAAGGAGGATGTGGAGGAGGTTCCTTTGGAGGCGACAGTGTGCTTTTGTTCATTGGTGTTGAATCTATGAAGGAAAGGACATTTTCTATCACAGGGTTGCTGTTGTCTTATTTTTAACATAAAAAGAGAAGACTGTAAGTGAAACCCCAGTTCTAGGAAGATAAAGATGCTGGAGATGGACTCCGAAGTCCCCAGTGCTCAGAGCTTGGGACTTGGAGGCAGGCCCTGTGGGAGAAAGGATGCCCCAGGTGGGAAGTCAAGTGAGTGTTTCAGTCATCTGTGGGGGTGTTCTTGAAGTATGCTGGAATCTTTAGAGTGAGTTTTGGAGATGGATATCTACTAACACTTCCCTAAAGCCATGGTGGTCAGAAGCTGGGCATGTGCTAAATCTCTCCATCAATAAGTCATTTGAGGTTTCTTCCCACAAGATGCCGGACCATTAGCTGTGGGCACAGACAGGTTGCATGCTTGTGCCTAATGAAATGGGCTCTTTCTCTCAAGTGTGTGTAGCCAAGGGGCTCTCAGACAAGGTGGTTAGCTTGACATTTTATGGGAACCCGAGGGAGGGAGGTTACAGCCATATCAATCATTGGAAGCACACAGACTGGGTCCCTGCCAAGCTCCTGTTGCTCAGGGAACAGACAGGAAGCAATGGATCTGTTCAGAGATGCGTGAGAAAGGGTGGAGGCTGGGCTCTGGGGAGGAGCCCAGTTCTGAACTGTAGGCAGCTGAAATCATCTGGTCCTGTGATGTCATTCAAGCCCATATGTGCTCGTCTTCCTGTCCCCCCCATCCCCCTTTCCTTCCAATATGGTAACCTTAAATCAACAATCTCAAGTATTTTATCCCCATATTGGACAATTTCAGATAATTTATATTCAAAGAAATTGAGAAAAATGCTATTCAGTCTTTCAGATGTGCCGGCTCCACCTTTCATCCCAAATCACCATGAACCATGAAGACAGCAACATTCTCCAGACATCCCAGGGTTTCTGTGCACCACTTACTCCATCCTAAACTCCATCTCCCTGTTCCAAATCTCCCTTCAATGTGACCAGCCTATAGGTTTTACCCCACTTCTTGGCTCAACACAATGCCCTGGCTTTAGTTTCCCCAAAGCTCTATGTAGGAAGGCTCCTCCTCAGGGACTTAGACTGTGTTTGTGTTCCTCTGAGCTGAGTCAGAGAATTTAATGACACATAGTCAGGGACACTGTGGGACACAAGTCTGACAGAAAAGCCAAACCCAAGTCACCTCCAGCCAAGAAGAGTTCCACCCTTCTTCCAAGCTATATGGTGAACATTTAGTATTCTGCCCTGTTTTCTACACACAAAAGCAAGCATGTCAGGTGGTATACCTCAGACTC